GCGAGGGCGAGAGGCCGAGGGCGAGGCGAGAGGAGAGAGAGGCGAGGCGAGAGAGAGGCGAGGCGAGAGAGGCGAAGGAAGCGAGGGCGAGGCGAAGGCGAGGGCGAGGCGAGAGAGAGGCGAGGCGAGGCGAGGCGAGAGAGAGGCGAGGCGAGGGAGGGCGAGGTGTGAGGCGAGAGAGAGGCGAGCGAGGGCGAAGAGAGAGGCGAGGCGAGGGCGAGGCGAGGCGAGACGAAGGTGAGGCGAGAGCGAGGCGAAGGCGAGGCGAGGGCGAGGCGAGAGAGAGGCGAGAGAGAGCGCGAGGGCGAGGGAAGGCGAAGGCGACGGGCGAGGCGAGGGCGAGGTGAGGCGAGAAGAGAGGCGAGCGAGGCGAAGAGGAGGCGAGGCGAGGCGAGGGCGAGGCTGAGCGAGGCGAGGCGAGGCGAGGCGAGACGAAGGTGAGGCGAGGGGCGAGGCGAAAGAAGGCGAGGCGAGGCGAGGCGAGGCGAGACGAAGTGAGGCGAGGGCAAGGTGAGAGAGAGGAGGGCGAGGCGAGAGAGAGCGAAGAGAGGCGAGGGCGAGGCGGAGGCAGGCGAGGCGAGGCGAGAGGCGAGGCGAGGCGAGAGAGAGGCGAGGGCCGAGGCGAGGGCGAGGCGAGAGGCGAGGGCGAGGCGAGAGAGAGCGAGGCGAGGGCGAGAGAGAGCGAGGGCGAGGCGAGAGAGAGGCCGAGGCGAGGCGAGCGAGAGAGAGGCGAGCGCGAGGCGACAGAGCAGAGGCGAGGGCGAGGGAGAGAGGCGAGGCGAGGCGAGAGCGAGGCGAGGCGAGGAGAGAGCGAAGGGCGAGGCGAGAGAGAGGCGAGGGCGAGGCGAGAGAGAAGGCGAGAGAGAGGGAGAGGGGAAGATAGAGGCGAGGCCGAGGCGAGGAGAGAGGCGAGGGCGAGGGAGAGAGAGGCGAGAGAGAGGCGAGGGCGAGCGAGGGCGAGGCGAGAGAGAGGCGAGGCGAGGTGAGGCGAGGGCGAGGCGAGAGAGAGGCAAAGGAGAGAGGCGAGGGCGAGGCGAGAGAGAGGCGAGGGCGAGGCGAGAGAGAGGCGAGAGAGAGGCGAGGGCGAGGCGAGAGAGAGCGAGAGAGGCGAGGGGCGAGGCGAGAGAGGCGAGGCGAGGGCGAGGCGAAGAGAGAGGCGAGGGCGAAGGCGAGAGAGAGGCGAGGCGAGGCGAGAGAGAGGCGAGGGCGAGGCGAGAGAGAGAGCGAGGGCGAGGCGAGAGAGAGAGGCGAGGCGAGGGCGAGGGCGAGAGAGAGGGAGAGGCGAGAGAGGCGAGGCGAGGCGAGAGAGAGGCGAGGGCGAGAGAGAGAGGCGAGGCGAGGCGAGAGAGAGGCGAGAGAGAGGCGAGGGCGAGGCGGAGAGAGAGGCGAGAGGAGGCGAGGGCGAGGCGAGAGAGAGGCGAGAGAGAGCGAGAGGCGAGGCGAGAGCCGAGGCGAGAGAGAGGCGAGGCGAGGTGAGGCGAGGGCGAGGCGAGGCGAGGCGAGAGAGAGGCGAGGCGAGGCGAGAGAGAGAGGCAGAGTGGAGGGCGAGGCGAAGAGAGAGGCGAGGCGAGGCGAGAGAGAGGCGAGGGCGAGGCGAGAGAGGGCGAGGGCGAGGAGGGCGAGGCGAGGCGAGGCTGAGGGCGAGCAAAGAGAGAGGCGAGGGTGAGACGAGAGAGAGGCGAGGCGAGGCGAGGCGAGAGAGAGGCGAGGGCGAGGCGAGGCGAGGGCGAGGCAAGAGAGAGGCGAGGGCGAGGCGAGGGTGAGGCGAGAGGCGAGTGAGGCGAGAGGCGAGGCGGAGAGAGAGGCGAAGAGAGAGGCGAGAGAGAGGCGAGGGCGAGGCGAGCGGCGAGGCGAGACGAGAGGCGAGGAGAGAGAGCGAGAGAGAGGCGAAGAGAGAGGCGAGGGCGAGGCGAGGCGAGGCGAGGCGAGAGAGAGGCGAGAGAGAGGCGAGGCGAGAAGAGGCGAAGGCGAGGGGAGAGGAGAGGCGAGAGGAGGGCGAGGCGAGAGAGAGGCGAGGCGAGGGCGAGGGCGAGGCGAGAGAGAGGCGAGGCGAGGAGAGAGAGAGAGGCGAGGAGAGAGAGGCGAGGAGCGAGGGCGAGGCGAGCGAGAGAGAGAGAGGCGAGGCGAGGCGAGGGCGAGGCGAGAGAGAGGCGAGGCGAGAGAGAGCGAGGCGAGAGAGAGGCGAGGGCGAAGTGGACCCCAGGTGAGGCTCCTTTAACCTACTTATTTTGTTATTGCTTATTTTATTTCCTATTCA